CTTGGTGGTGCTTGGGTGCCTTTTGCCTCGATTTGTGCACTTTTGACTCGGGATTGTGATCCCAATATTTGTGTGAGATAAAATTAATTCTAAATTTACTTTAGAATCAATTTAGAGCAAAATGAAAATAAAATTAAGTCTAACTTAATTAAATTCAAATTTAATTGTGCACAAGCCTAAATTATTCAAAATTTTATTTTGAAACAAATTTAGGTCATTCTTTATGCTTAAAATTGAATGAGCTATGTCCATAATTAATTTAGCCAATATGCAAATTAATAAATGGATTTGACAAATGGGAGTTGGAAAAATAAATTAACCATCTAATGATAAAATTTTCCAACTTTCATACTTGTGTAAAATGCCAAGATTACATCTTCCAATATGAAGATTAATCAAAATTTTATTTTACTCACAAGCATTTTAACTTCATGGATTTTAATCAACCAATATAAAAAATCCAAACTTTGTTCAATATGGAATTTAGGGTTAAAGTTCCAATCAATTAAACATTTAAAGATTAGATCTTTAACTTGGGAACTTAAAATTACATACAACAAGTATTCACACATTATTGCAATTTATTTGCAAAATTGTGAATGAACAAGTTTATGTGAAATAGAGCATATCAACTTAAGCACTAATTAAAACTCCATAATTATGCTTAAGGATAATTAAAATAGCAATAGAATAGTGATGCAATAATGCATTTAATCTAACCTTGTAATGCTTGCATTAATCAAGGCTTAAAAAGATTTACAATTTTCGTTGAAAACGAAAAAACCCCAAAAACAAGGGTTGCTAGTTCGAATTTGGCTTCTAGATAGTCCTAGAAGGGTTGAATCTGTTCCACAATGTCGATTCCACCCAAAAAGCACTGTTTTTGAGCAAAAATCTGGGTTCGACAGCCAAATCGATAAAAAATACGAGTTTTAAAATTAATTAAAACGAGCTTCTAATCTAATTAGAAAAGCAAAACCAGAAATTAAATCTTACTTAAAAACACCTCAATTAATAAATAATTGCAATAATTAAAAGCAGCGAGGCTCCGATACCGCTGTAGGGTTTCGTAGTGACCCTCACTACGCGGAAAGGAAACCCCCCAAGACCCGCCCCGATAACTAAAGCAATTAAGACAAGTATAAACATAATTAAGCAATAATTAAAAGAAGAGAGAGTGAAGCTATACCCTCGATGCGTGCTTCGCTCGCAAATCGAGCTCTTACTTCGAAAGCTCTAGCCTCGCAAGTGCGACGGCCTCCAACGGAGTCCACCCTCGAGACCCGACCCGAACGAACCCTACCCCGAAGGTTAGTCGGGGCTAGACCAAGAAAGACTAGAGTATTACGAACTTAGAGGTTTTCTCACCTTAAGGGAGATGCCTCATTGAGTTCAACTCAAGTGGTTTTTCCCAAAACCCAAACTTGGGTATTTATAGGGAAAGGAGACTTGAATCTCCCTTCTCCCATCCATGTGGGAGAATTGCATTTTTCTACTAATTTATTTTAATCAAAAATAAATTAACAAATAATGCAATCAACAAGTGGCAAATGGAGGATAATTGGTTAGGTAAGGACCATTTCCAAGGGGGTACCATAGCCTTGCTCCTCAAGGCAATGCTCGAAGCCTTGGTCCCCACTTAGCCCAAAACCGGACATCCCATGTGGATGGCTGGCAGCCTTCCTTGGCTTCCAAGGCTGCCCAGCTGGCGCCTAGCACCAAGGATGGGTTTGCTGGCCAGCTAGCCTACGCACACACGCAGCAGCCGCACCATGCATGTTGGGCGCTGGTGCTTGGTACTGCTTGCTAGGCGCTGGTGCCTGGCCCTTGCTCGCTAGGCGCTGGTGCCTGGCCTTGCTTGCTAGGTGCTGGTGCCTGGCCTTGCTCGCTAGGCGCTGGTGCCTAGCATTGCTCGCTAGGTGCTAGTGCCTGGCATTGCTCGCCCGCCATACACGCACATAGCGCTAGCACACACAGTGACGTGGTGCTACGCTAGCAAGCACGCACAGCACGTTGCAACGGCTGATGCTGCTTGGCTAGCACGCACACATGCACAAGCACGCATAGCGTTGATAGCGAAGGCCAACACTTGCGTGCTGCAGCTGGCCTTGCGATGCTACGCTAGTGCTGCTATGTGCGAGGCGATAACATGCTAGCATGCCTAGCGCGCCAGCGATGCTAGCCTTGCCATACCAGCTAGCTAGCCAGCGCTGCTAGCATTCGGTGCTAGCATGCATGCGCTGCTAGCAAGCTCAGTATGGGTGTGTGTGGCCTAGGCTAGCCTAGCACTCGCACGGCTAGGCCAATGCGAGGCTACGGCTTAGCACATACTTGTTGTTTGTTGATTTTTCTCGTCTCGTCTCGTCAAATTCTAAATTCGACTCGACTTGCGACGCTCAGTTTCGACGCTCTAAGCTCGATATCCGACGTCTTTGTTCGTAATACTCTAATGACTCATCTAATCCTTCGGATTGATTCGTCACCTCAGATCGGTTACTCGATTGGGTGTGGCCCGAAGGGTTCAGTCAAGATTAAGCTGTAATATTAATTGTACATTAATATTACTGATCGAAAGCGGCCTCCACCTAGACATTCCGATCACTTGACCTTACTGAAGAATTAGCTTTCCGATAATTCCGAACCCCTTATCGGAATAATACACTTGTTGGAAGGACACCATTCCTTTAAGAATAGGGTTAATACAGACTTGAATTTAATCAATTGATTCAACAGGAAACGCTTGCATATGCCCAGAATATAGGCATTATATGAATGGAGTGGAATTGGCAGATTCAATTAGCACGAACGTACACAAATGGCTCTTAACACATTTGGAGTGTTGCTGCTTATGGCTTAGAAACCCTACTATGCTTGTTGATTCACTTTCAATGAAGCCTGGAATTCTTCAAAACAAGGCCACTAAATTAGGGGATGTAATAAACTACAAAGATTGGCAAATTGCTCTAAGTCGTCGTTTTCGAGCCCTTAAGGTTTGGATTGTGATTCGAAGGTATGGTTCGACTAATTTGATGTCACATATAAGAAGCGACATTGAGTTAGATAAGTATTTTGAATCCTTGATTCAGAATGACAAGAATTTCGAGTTGATTCTGCCACGAAAATTATCATTGGTTTGCTTTAGACTAAGACTACTTGGTAGTAATGAGAATTTGACCGTGTTAAACCAGAAATTGTTAGAAGCTGTAAACTCAAGTGGTCAAGCTTACATGACTCATGCGGTGATAGGAGGGAAATTTGCCATACGTTGCGCAATTGGAGGTTCATTGACTCAAAAGTGTCATATTGATAGCCTTTGGAATTTGATTCAAGAGATGGAAAGAACTCTCATTTTAAAAAATGGATAATGGAAAACTGCCTATTGAAGAAGTTGCCCAAACTATAATGCTTAGATAATTATGAAATATTTTATATACACCCGGGTGTACCTTGCACCCAACTAACCCAAAGTTAGTTTTGCTCTTTATTTGATGATTAAAAGAAAAACAATCATCAAAATGAGAACAAAATCCTTATGGGTATACCATACACCCGTGTGTTTATAACAATCTCTCGATAATTGTATTCATTGTTAATGGATTGAATAAAGGACATGTGTAATTTGTGATCTTTGTTTAATATATAATGGATAATTAGATTAAGGATTTGCTATTTATAGTCCGAAGTTCATTTGTTTTGAATTTATTTGAGCATATTAGCTCAAGGGTGTTGATATTGTCAAGGCAAAAAAAAAAAAAAAAAGCCATTTTCAAGGCCAAATTTTCTACTAATTGCCCGTAATATATGAAAATCTATATATGTCAAACTTATTAATTCAATAAAATAGTTTGTAATCTTTTAATAATCTTTTGCTGCCAATAATGTTTTGTAGTCTTTTGTTACCTATAATTTTATTACTAAAATATTCCAATTAAAATCTTTCCAATTATTGAGACAATAAATATAGTTGTCATTCTTCGGAGAAATATATTGTACGCCCAAAGAGTTCATCATACGATTCATATCCATACCCCTGCTTATAATCAACACCAAAAGATATAAAAAGTAGCAGTATCTCAATGTTAAAGTGTCAAACATAAATAAATTATAAATAAATAAATAAAATAAGAAGCTTTGTATTATCATTAAAAGTTTAAAACTTATACTACATAACGAAAAGAGTATAATAACATACTGAACAATCAATCAAGCCAACACATGTAGGGCATTAAGATCAACTGAATTTGGTGCATTTTCACCATGGGCTAGATAAAAAAATTATGTAAATATATATATATATATATATATATATATATATATATATATATATATATATATATATATATATATATATATATATATATATAGGAAGAATCCGGTGAGAATAGGTTCATATGTGAGAACACATACTTATATGAGAACTGATCTAAAATTTAGAACATGTTAGTACAAATTTGGAAGATATGAGTAAGAATTTAGAACATGTAACTCAAAATAAAATTTAAAACATATGAGTAACATTTTAGAATATTTGCGTGAGTAATAAATTAGAACATCTGATATAAGAATTAGAACATGTGAGTAAAAATTTTAAAAATCCACTTGACGAAATTTAGAAACATATGAGTAAAATTTAGAATATTTAATTTAAAATTTAGAGCATGTGAATAAATATTTAGAACACCAAGTATAAAAGATATAAAATGTGAGTAAAAATTTAGAACATATGAGTAAAAATTAGAACATATTATTTAAAATCTTAGAACACATGTTTTATAATTTAAAATTATAACATCTAACTTAACTTATCTATGGTTTAGAACAATTTAGAGCATCTAACTTAATTTGGAACACTTCGAGTAAATATTTGGAATATTAGATTTAAAATTTACAAATACGCGAAAAAATTTAGAACATACCGAGTGTTATCACATTAGAAATGATTCTCACATAAAGAGGAGGTCTCACAAGAGCCGTCCCCTATATATTGGACCTAATGAGGGGTGCGCGCTAGATCGACGGCTGGGATCTATTCAGATGCGAATTCTCTCTCCTTCGCTCGTTTCTCTTTCATTCTCACAGACGCCATTTTCGTTCTCCCTTACCTCAATTAACAACTCGATTTTATGGATTCGTTGCAAAATTGGGATGAATTTGCTGCAAATTCGCCGAGAAAGTATTTTTTTGAGTTTGCTGAATTGATTCAAATTTCTTTTGCAAGCGCAAAATCTCAGTTGAGTATGCAAAATCGAGCTCTAAAATAGGTATAATCATAATAATGCTAACAATTTCTTAAGTTTCTAGTAATTTATGCTAATATTACTATATTAGGTCTAAATTCATCAAAATGATGCAAATTTATTATGATGATCGATTAAATCGTATTTCCTATTAATTTCCAGCTTGAATTTCCAATTTGTAAGCGATTGTTGCGAATTTCTCATGGATAGAGGTAAATGTTTCAAATTTGTGTTGATTTTAGATAATTGATGTTGGTTGTTAAATTTTTATGAATTTCTGGTATCTTGTTCTGGTGTTTAGATTCTTTGTAAATTTTGGGTGCTACTTGTATAGTTTGGTGACTAAAATGTGTTAAAGTAAATTGAAATCATGTAAATGTAAATTAAATCAGTTTAAAAGTAAATTAATTTTGTTGCTGGAAGGTAAACAATTGTCAACGACAGTCCAGATGTTGTAGCTCTGTGTAATACATAGGTCTAGGTTAGTTAGCTGTTAAAATAGGTGAAAGTTTTATTAGTTGAAACTTGAAACTTGGATGTAGCTCTGTATAATACATATCTCTGTAAGTCTCAAGTTTTATTTGTTGAAACTTGAGAGTTCTGATAGATTTACCAGAGAGACTGTGTTCGAATGTTTTCAGCTTTGTCAAATTTGTTGATATTTCAAGAGTGTGTTTGCTCTTATCAGAGAAGAAAAGTGAAACTAAACTTTAGTTCCAGTTTAGTGTAATGTTTATATATTTAGTGTAATGTTTTAGTTGCCAGTGATTTAGTACCTTTTAGATTGAGAATAGGCCATCTTTATAATGGAACTTAAATCACTCTGTTGCTCTTTCCTCCAACATATTTGCAGGCAAACAGCGATCCTAAGTTGGGTGGCAGAGAGACTATCAGGGGATGAGATTTCAATGTTTGCAAACTTATGTTGGTCCTCTTGGACTAGCAGGAATAACGTCATTCATGAGCCGTCAACACACGATCCTATAACGCTAGCTACAGTTTTCACTAGGTATGTCTATGACTATAAATCATATGGTGCTAGAGCCTTTATTGAGGTGAAAAGAAGTGATGCATAGTCTTGATGAATTTCCTGCTATATTTGAAGAATAGGATCTTATGCTGATTAAAAATGAATATTGCTTCTTGTAATTTTCTATTTCTAAAATTAGATAGAAGTTGGTTAAAAGTAAATCAATTAGTCTTAAAAGTTTGTTTTTTCTCTTGATTAAAAAGTAGATTGAAAGTTAAGAAAAGTAAACCAGTTAGACTCATAAGTTAATGAAAGTAAACATAGTTGGATTATCTATTATGCTTTGGATTTTAAATACAAGTGCTACAACCTATTAGTTCAAGTGTTATTTGAGTTAATATAGTTAAAAATTGCTAATATATAGTTGCCTCTTCATCAAATATGTGTAATTTGCAGGCTTGGAAGTATCTTTGGGCTTCTCCTATGTAAGAAAGATGTGGCTACTGAAGATACAATCCGGAGAGCTATGGGCATAATTGTTGAGAATGAGAAAGCTATTATTCAACCTGATCGAATGTTGTATGCTCATATAGCTGCTACACGGTGATGGAAACCTCTTAAATTTGGGGTGTTCAAGTTGAATACTGATGCAGCTTGCTTTGAGGATATATTATTTGGTCTGGGGTTGTTATTCGTGACACTAGAGGTGATGTTCTACTGGTTGCGGGGCAAATTTGTAGTTGATTTTAGTGAGGCGCTTGCTGCTAGGAATGCTTTGCAAATCGCAATTGAAGCTGGTCTCAATAGAATTATATTGGAGACGGACAATGCTAAACTGTACCATCATCTCAAGAGCAACAAATGAGACAAATGAGGTTGCTCACATATTAACACATTTGAGTAAATGTTATGTTGAGATGAGAGTGTGGATCGTAGAGGTGCCTGATGGTTTATTGGATGTAGTGGTTCTTGGCATTTCAAGTATTCCTTGATAAATTTGCTTGTTTTCTTTGTGTCCAAAAAAAAAGTAAACCTATTAGCTCAAATGGTAGAGCATTATGCAGATGCATAGAAGTATAGGTTCGATTCCTACATTGGTTATCTTAAAAAGTAATTACAAAAAAAAATCTAAAGTTATTCAAAATACAAATCAAAATCTATAAAAAGTAGAAAAACTAAAAAAATATATTAATATATGCCAAAAGTAAATCATAATTACTCAAAAGTGAATAAATAATGCTAAAAGTAAATCAAAATATCATTGAAGTAAATCAAATTAGCTCTAGAGTATATGAATAACGAATTATCTTGAAATGATAATGAGTAACAAAACTTTGTTATAGCACAAAAACTCCGAATCATTGACTTTCATATCCATACAAGATGAGTCAATTTTTTTTTTGTTTGACATAAATATATTGAGTTCAAAGTAGAGGTTTACAAATTAAAAGTAAATAAAACTATATCAAAAGTAAACAAAAAAAAGGAAGAAATCTAATAAAACATTTAACTGTAACCTCGGCAATTGTATACCTGTAACCTCGGCAATCCCAGTCTTGAGCAAGTGGTCATGCCCGCCTGTAGGGGTCACAAAAGTGAACGCTGATGCTTAGTTTGCATATGGCAACCTAGTGGGACTTGGTTTGGTGTTGCGAGACTTTAATGGCAACCTTCTTATGTGTGCAGCAAAGAGAACAAGGGCTGCCAACTCAGAGATGGCAGAAGCACTTGATGTGCGCTATGGGATCCACATTGCCAGACATTTTGGTTTTACAAACATAATGCTGGAGTCTGACGCCTCAAATGTTGTCAATGCCATAAAACAGAATGTTATCGGTTCCACTCCAATATTAACCTTAAAGTAAATAATATTTAGTAATTGGAGGTGAACAATAAATTAAGGTACACAATATATATCAAAAGTAGATACAATAAACTCAAAAGTAATCGAAATATCCCAAAAGTAAATCAAAATAGCTCGAGAAAGAAATCAAAAGTAGATCAAAATATCTTAATAGTAAATAACAATAACTTAAAAGTAAATGAAAAAAAAAAACTCACATCTACTATCTCTTAATATTACAGAGCAAGACCATGTCAAAAAAATATTACAGCAAGGGAGGGAATAGCGTATAGACAGCTCACTTCTACTATCTCTGATCAAAGAAACAAGAAAAATATGAGGTGAAAGTAAAGGTTTTCATGTTAAAAGTTAATAAAACAATGACAAAAGTAAAGAAAAATGTAGAAATCAGATTTTCAAACATTGAAACATTAATACTTCGTAAAGAATGAGTTTAGTATCCATATTACACAAATGAACCTATGTGGGATTCGAACCCATATCTTTGTACATTTGCACAATGCTCTACTTGTTGAGCAAGTAGGCTAGTGTATCAAAGTAAAGAAAAATCACTCTAAGGTGAATCAAAATATTTCAAAAGTAAGAAAAAAAGTTCTAACTAGAAGTAACAACGTACAGTAATAATAAAGAGTTAGCAAGACCTAGATTGATGCTAAATTGAGACTACGAACTGCAACCTTAAATGTAAACGTAACGTTGTTTGATTTGAGAAGAAGTTGGTTCTAGTTGAGGATATTTTTCGCAGGGCGCTTAGCATTATAGGTGAGTATGAAAAAGCAAATGAAGGTTTTCCACCTATTATTAGAGCTGCTGCTATTGTGAGGCGAAGCTTGCTGCCACCTTCGGATGCAGCTTGTTGTTTCTAACAATGCTATTGGGCTTGGTGGAGTTATGCGGGATCATGTAGGTGATGTGCTGGTTGTGACCTGTTGTGTGATGCAGGGCAGCTTCGAGGTGATGATTGCTAAAGCCCTTGCGGCTCGTCATGCTCTTTCAAACGTTGTGGAAGCTGGTTTCCTTTCTAATATCCTTGAAGTGGACAACCTGAAGATCTATAACTATCGAAAGAATGGCAGAGTTGAAAGCTCTAGTTTTGGCTTTAATATTAGAGACATTTTACATTTAGCTAGACTTTGTAATGTTATTGAAATTTCTCATGTACAAAGAACTGGGAACAATGTGGCCCATTCTTTAGCTAAGTGTAGTAATGACTTTGAGGGCATGAGAGTATGGAATGAAGAAATTCCCTCATGCGCCTCTACTACTTTCCTCTCTGATCTTTCAGAGCTTTAATTTAACAAAGTGTGCTTTGTGTAAGAAAGAAAAAAGATACTATTCCACTAGAAAAAATTCAGAAATTACAATCTCGATTGCTCGTATATTCATGAAAAGTAAAGAAACATAACTCAAAAGTAGACAAAACAGCTAAAATGTGATGAGCATGTTGCAGCAAAGCAACCAACACAATTGGCCCAAACAACCAAAACACACCATTCTACTACCCTCATCTGCAATGCCCAACAATTGCACACAAACACATGCACGAGTGCACACATCATATACATACATTGAGCAAGTAAAATAGTGTAATGTAGCAACATAATAATGTGCAGCATTAGAAAGTGCAATCAATTCCATACATAAAGAAAATTCCAAGAAAATAATTCACAAAACTGTAGTTTCAACAAATGCGATCACAAGTACGTAAACATAGAATTGTAAAACCTCTAATACAAAGTATATCAATCAAAATCACACAATATAAATTTAAAATTTGAATTAAACAGTACAAAACACAAAAAACGATAATTGAAATCAAATTAACTTACTTGTTCAGAAATGGCATACAAATATTTCCACCAAATATATGTAGATTTCAACAATTGAAATTAAATTTTCAAAAGCAGACATTGATATAAACTATAATTAGCAATCGAAATTGCTAATGCACAAACATATACTTGTAAAGTAAATATATCAACTAACAATTAAGAAAACCCTAATTTTCGCAATATAAATTGCAAAAACTGATTTAAAAAAATAACAAATTAAATTAAAGAAATTAAAGCAATGATAATAATAATAAAATTAACTTACCTGCTAGAAATTTGCTCTAACAATGAGCGAAGATGAAAAAATGGATGCTGATTTGCAAAGTTGAGGGGCGAAAAATCAGAGAAATCGAGAGAAGAGAGAACTATTAAGAGGAGAGAGAAAACGAAATGAAGAGAGAGAATGAAAATAGAAACAGGAAGAATTTCGGGTAGTCATTCAAAGCACAAAATGACTATTCTACCCTTAATGAAGCGAGTTAGATGACAACCGTTAGATGATGGGCGATCAACGGTCCAGATGAGTTCCTAGTTCCTATTATAGACCTAAATTCTCACATGATCTCGATTGTATATATATATATATATGTATGTATGTATGTGTGTGTATACATATGGATATACATATACATATATATATATATATATATATATATATATATATATATATATATATATATATATATATATATATATATATATGTATATGTATATACATACACATATGTATACATACACATATACATACATACATACATACATACATACATATATATATATATATATTCACTAGTAGAATAAACTAATTTAGAAGCGGTTCAAACCCCCTAATTGGAAGCGGTTTTGAACCGCTCTGGTTTGGGGGGCTTGCCATTGTCAGTGACAATTAGAAGTGGTTCAAACCACTTCCAAATAGGGGGGAATTGGAAGCGGTTTGGCGCCAAACCGCTTCCAAATCCCATTTTCATAAAAAAAACCTACAATTGGAAGCGGTTTTGGCACCAAACCGCTTCCAATTGTAGTTTTTTTATTTATTTATTTTTACTTTTAAAATTAATTACTAATAATATTATATATTAGACATTAGTGACCTTTCCCAATAATTTCAATATTAGTATTAAAATAATTTTGTTAATCGATAAAAATTTATTATTATTAATTATTAATAAAATTAATATTATTAATTAATAATAATATTAATATTAGTTACAAAATAATACAACACAAAATAATTACATACATAAAAAGTAACACCATTAATATATTTAATGAATAACAATATTTAATTACACCATCATTTCTAATTACATACTATTACATACTTAATTAAAATAATGTTGATAATAATATGTAATTAATAATGAAAAGTAAAGATAACAAACCAATATAACCGCTAATATATGCGGCGATTCTAGATGCCATCAAATGTGACAAAAAAAAGCCCACAAGTCGCGAACTTCATTGATTTCCTTCCTTGTTAACGGGCCTTCCTTTTGAACCTTGCAAAACTTTAGAGACCCAAAAAAAAAAAAAACCAACAAACATTATCACGAGTATCACAACACTGAAAAGCACGCACTAATATCACCGAAATTCACTGAAAATCACCAAATTGACCGAAATGCACAAAAATCACATGCATCACGTGCATGATGTGCTGGGCTGTTGCCTGGCTGCCTTGGCTGCTGCAGTGGCCTGGCGTGGCCTGCCTTGGCTACTGTAGTGGACTGGCAGCTTGCCTTGGCTGCTGCAGTGGCCTGGCAGCCTGCCTTGGCTGCTGCAGTGGCCTGGCAGCCTGCCTTGGCTACTGTAGTGCCCTGGCATGGCCTGCCTTGGCTGGTGCAGTGGCCTGGCATGGCCTGCCTTGGCTGGTGCAGTGGCCTGCCTTGGCTGCTGCAGTGGCCTGGCATGGCCTGCCTTGGCTGCTGTAGTGGCCTGGCAGCCTGCCTTGGCTGCTGCAGTGGCCTGGCATGGCCTGCCTTGGCTGGTGCAGTGGCCTGGCAGCCTGCCTTGGCTGCTGCGGTGGTCTGGCAGCCTGCCTTGGTTGCTGCACACAGCATGGCAGCGTGCCTTTTCATATGCAGTGATGCTTGTGTTTTGTTCGGTTCAAGTTATGCGTGTGTTTTGTTCAGTGTAAATATCGAAACAATTATTAGGTTGAAGATAGTAAAAGCATACCTCATCTAGTTGTTGTGCTTCCTTACAACTATTGACTATGTCAAGCATAAACTTCATAACGTATAAGGCACAGTCAAGTCCGTTGTCTTGTTGCGCACACTGACATGGCACAAAGGATATCAAATCATGCATAGCGATAACCGAAGCCAAGTATATTAAGCAAATCACTAACTCAAGGGATTACCTTTGCATATTCCCACGTAGGACCCGCAACAGAACGACGATTTCGCTTCTTCATAACACTTTAGGAAAGTACGTTCAAAGTTAGAAACATCTATACTCAATGATTTTTGTGAGGTAAAACAACTGTAGGAAGCAATATGTACCTATTCAATATATTATTCACTAACAACCTACGTGGTGGATTCTGACGAAGTGAATCAAAGTAGTAGATTGTGTATTTGGAAACACAAATCACCAAAAGGGTCCAATGAGAACTGCATATATTGAAAAACCGTCAACAACTATACGCCACAGTTCGTTAAAAAAAAGAACAACTGAATTTATGACATTTGTAGACATACTCCTCAAAACATGGGGCTAATATGAACTTATCTCCCGCAAGCGTTGATTCCTTGATACTCCGTTCTAGGTAATCTTCAACATCACGAGGGCTGCATAAGCATCTGGTAAGCGAGGTCTGCTCGGGGCAAAGCCAGCTAACTGCAGCCATAGAATCGCCACTGGTTCTAAGGTGCTCTTGTAGTGCCCTTCATGACAATATTGTTGGGAATTATCATTAAAAGCTTTCATTACATTTGAAAATGCAACAGAATGATTAGGTATAGTTGCATTGCAATACCTCATGAAAGCTTGAATGATGGAAATGTTAAGCATGGCACCGGATAGAAATTCCTTCACATCCTCTTTTGCAATTGGTGCGATCCCATCCTCATCATAGTGGAACAATGCCTTAGGTAAAATCACTTCAATAGATCTACCCCTAGGCAACTCACTCACTCGGTTGTGAAGAAAAGTACAAGCTCTAGATAGCGAATTCAGGATGTCGGCTTCTACTAGTGGAGTACAACTCGTGGCAGAACTTCTCGAACTCTTCTTCAACCCTTTTCCTTGTTCCATGTTCTTTGTAGGTTGGACGTTCTTAGATTTTGGCTTCTCCACCTTGTTCCTATTAGATGACTGATTTTCATTTGTAATAGAAAAAACACATGGTTATATTATAAGCTATTTGGGACATGTTTTAAACACAAATCTAAGTAGTGTACACTTACCCCTCCTATCAACCTCACCCGATCACGTGGCCATTGCACAAAACTACCTTTTGCATCAAGCAGCGTGATGAAGTCATATTCCTCTCTAGGCACCTGTAATGGCAAGTCCTCAAACCCTGGTACTATGGAATTAATCCCGACCGAGATATAGTGGGTACTAGTATTAGACTTAAAATGACAACTGTCAAACGGTTGTGCGCTACCATACCCCACCAACTCTCCATCCACGTTTTTGTCGGGGTGAAGAAGCTCACAAGGCGTCTCTTCCTACACAGTTCATCGGGACAAGTTATGAACTAATTAACCAACGTAAGCTAATTTGTAGACATTTCATTAAGACTTGAAATTTACCTGGACATCTGGAAAAGGATCAGGTGTCTGGTTTGCAATCCCCCTTGATTCTGCATGCTGAGTAGGAATCTGCAATAGTAAAATAAATATGGAACATAAGGACTCGTTTGATGATATGAAGTTCATGTTCTCAACTGTAATTCAATTACCTCGATAACATGTGGATTGACCCTGGCATCTTCTGGGTGACTACATGAGTCCACTGGGGTTATCGAGGGCAAAGAAATGGTTGTCAAGTTCATGTGCTTCAAAATGGCATTGAATTGACTTTGCAATTGTTCTTGCACCTCTTTGCGTATCTCAACCTTAATTGAATCCATTTCCTTGGCATTTATATGGTGGGGCGAATTAACACTAGATCTAGTTCTTCCTGATCTAGTGTATTCTGAACCCATAACCTTTTCCCACCCTAGTTGTTTCCCTCCTGCACCAATGACTCGCCCAGGATGGTATGGTTCCCAAAGCCAGGGTAAAAGGATCGTTCTCTACGCTTGGAGTGAGCTTTCCTTCAACCACTTCCGACGTATGCTCGAGCTGCAACAACACAAAAAGTTTCCAGTTCTAAGTTAGTTGTAGTTTCTACGGTAATATTTAATAATAATTGTGGAATATTACCACAAATGTCAAAGGGTCCTTACTAGTGCATCTGCTACTGGCCTTGTATCCGGGTGCATGACGTACTTCCCGGTGTTCTTGTCGATCCCATGCATAGCACACCACCAATCATTTGCACGACTTACTAAACTGGTGACCGTGGAGGGAAGCGGTTTATCAGATGACGATATTTTGGATGTGGGGTATAAACCCTCTTTGATCCACTTTGGTCTACTTTCTGCAAATGTCTTACAACCCATATGATGGTTATACAATTTCTTCTCAGCATTGCTCGTAGCTTGTTGACTTTTTTCCTACACATTATCAAGTGTTAGCATCATAATATGTAGTGAGAAAAATTGGGAAAACAACAGTAATGTAAATGAAACTACTTACAAGTGCAGTAGTAGTAGTTGATTTTGCCACAAACGTCTCCCAGTCCTTCACCGTTATTTGCGGATATACATCCCACGGTTTCTTCTCAGGTTCCTCCTCTCCTGCATTACCCTTCACAGTTTTCTTTGGTTTATGCCTTTGTTTCTTATGGATCCATCTTGTTCTCAACGAACTTTTGAAGTTTGTGAACCTCTCTTGTACGAAACCTTCAAACGATCTTCTCTTTTCTGGATCATCAGGAATATTAAACACACTCTGTAAGAATGGAAAACATACATGTTACTTAACGGCAAAACAAAGAAAAAAAAAAACAAATTGCACAGCCACCCTAGGCAGGCTGCATAGCCACCGTAGGCAGCTGCACAGCCACCGTAGGCAGCTGCACAGCCAGCCCTGGCGGCTGCACAGCCACCCTGGCAGCTGCACAGCCACCCTAGGCAGCTGCACAGCCAGCCTTGGTAGGCTGCACAACCTCCCTGGCAGGCTGCACAGCCACCCTGGGTAGGCTGCACAGCAGCCTTGGCAGGCTGCACAACCAGCCTAGGCAGCTGCACAGTAGCCCTGGCAAGCTCCACAGCCAGCCTAAGCAGGCTGCACAGCCAGCCTAGGCAGCTGCACAGCACCCGAGGCAGAATCTTCATGATTTTGGTGAA